AAAAAAAAAAAAAGACCTTTCAAGGACTGTGAGGCAGGTAATATTATTTATCCTTACTTAGAGATCAGGAGACTGATTATTGGAAAGGTTAAGTAACTTGGTTAATGGTGAGCTGAAAACAAATGTCAGTGTATATGATCATTTCTTTTTTCCTAAAGCACTAAGATTCTTTGTAATAATTTCTTTTGAAAACATGTTTTAAAAAACAGTTTTGTGTGTCTTTTTCTAAAATAACAGGAATGTTAATTTTTCACTGTTAGTATATTCAGTATTAAGATTCTCTCGACCATAGTTTCTAAATAGTTTCCTTGATGATAAGGAAAATATTTAAGGATTTATGATGTTGAATTGTCAGTAATTGGTGTAGGAACCATCATAGTATTATTTAAAGAATCTTAGAGATCCTCCCCCTCCAAATTGAGATCTTTTGGACAGTTACGAGTAATTTTTGTCAACTAGAGTGTGAACTTGTGTTCTCGATCGAACAGTCAACATAATCACATAAATAGTATTTGGGTTTCAATTTTTAAAATTAGTTTTTATAAATTGAGTAAATTTTACAAGTGTTTAGTAACATCACTGTGTTAGGAAACAGTTGTACTCCTAGGACCTGTAAGTAGCCCCCATGTGTTGAGCACCTACCATGTCCAGGCACTGTATGAAGCTGGTCACATAAGTAGTCGCATTGAATCCTGAGACTGAAAAATACGGGGTATTCACCCCGTTTTAACAGAAGGAAATCTTAGCTTCCATGACTCACGCAGTCTTCCTTTTCATTTTCCTTCACTGTTTCTCCTCTAACCAGCCTTTAAATGTTGCTGTGCAAGGTTCAGAATATATCACTCTGTATTCTCTTTAGGGTGATCTCATCCCCTTTTATAGCATCGGTTGCAGAGTTAACAAACTGAAATGCCTTAGGGACCAAGGAAATCACACACATGAGTGAACAGGATGAAATATGGATTATCATTCCTGTGGCAGAATGGAAAACGAACCACTTACACACCAGCAGCAGCACTGGCCAAAGCTACCATATGCGTAGTTTTTGAAACCCATGAGAAAGTGTGAGTCCTTCGATAGCTCAGTGGTAGAGTGGAGGACTGCCAAACCCATGAGAAAAAAAGAAAAAGGTAGATTTTGTTCACAGTTTTAGACCCAAGTTTAAGCCCCTGGTATTTAGGCTGTTGACTCCCAAGTTTATATCTTACAGTTCAGACTTCCATTGAGCTCCGGACTTGGGTATCTGTTTAGTATCTCCATTTGGCTGTCCTTCAGCCATCTCAACACTTAATAAGTTTAAAACTAAATGTATTCTTTCCTCCCTCCTTCCCAAACTTGGCCCTCCTCCAGTGTTTCATCTCACAGTGAATGACATCATTTGCACAAGACAAAAACCTGAGCATCCTCTGCTCACTCATCTCTTCACTTCCCTAATTACCTCTAATATTCTCTTTCCTTTAATATGCCATTCCCACCACTCTCCGTCTGAGTCACCACCACCTCTCTCACCTGGGTGATTGTGGTGGCTTCATCTCTTTCAACTCTTGCCCTTCTCTAGCCCATTTTCTTAAAAACAGCCGAAGTAATTTTATTTTATTCTTTTTTTTTTTTTTAAGT